GGGAAGTCAAAGTATGAAGTAGCACCAAATGAAAATACTGAAGTAAAGCCCAGATACCTCAAATTTATACTTAAGTACAGCACTTGAGTAAATGTACTTAGTTACTTATAGGTACTGTTTATAATTTGATTGCAGACATGAGGCTAAGTTTATTAGTTTTACAACTTTCATGACTTGTCAAGATAGGATGCCTATAACGCTTTTAGTAAAGTCGATGGACTTATGGGGGCTCACTGCCGAGGCTTATTTTGTACTTGTGCAACACCAGGACTCAATACTCATGGGGCCATATCATTTTACACACTAACTGATTCATAATATTCCATACAATGAGGATTTAGAGTGACAGACGTAAGATTGTTTCAGCTGACCTTTGATATTTCATTAAATGTTTCCAGGATGGAATTCACCGTTTTAATGTCTTTTATCTTCACTTTCTCCACACATTCCTCATCAACCTCATCTCGTGTCCCAGGTTAGAGGCTCTTTAACAAATATAAATAATACAGTAGCTTCAGAAACTATCCAGACCCTGTTACCTTTTCAGTCTTTATTGTGCTGTAGGCTTAATATTAAAGTGATAAAATTGCCATTTTGTCCATCAATCTACATCCAGTAACCCATAATGACAGAGTTAAAATATGTTTTAGACACTTTTTCAAATTGAAAACTGAAATCTCTTGTTTATAAAAGTATTCACATCCTTAACTTCTTTGGCCGAGCAGCTCCAAGAAAGTCAGACCTTTGTTGTCCCAAAGCAACTACAGTATCACTCAAGTCTGAGGCTGATGCACTCTGGACCAGGTTTTCTTCAAGGGTCTCTCTGTATTTGGCTGTGGTTCATCCTTCCTTCAGATCTGACTAGTCCGTCTGTCCCTGCTACTCTATTAGAGGGACTGCTGGGTCCTTGGTCATCTCCCTGACCAAGACCCTCCTTGCCTGGTTACTCAGTTTGGCCAGACAACCAAACAGCCTGGGAACACAAAGTTATAGAAATGGTCTTGTGCCACAGAGATCAGATCAGAGATGCCACAGACCTCTACAGAGAGTTCCTTCACTTTTTTCCTGACATGCAGTATGAATAGTAGGATCTTATATACACAGAGGTGTGTCTGTCTAAATTATGTCAGACCAATGCAGCATAATTAATAAAAGCAAACAGAATGTTTGGAGTGCCACCACAATGGGTCTGAGTACTGAATACCTCAGAGAGTTCACTTTTAACTTTTAATACAGTTTTTTCTTCAAATTCTAAAAACACATTTTCACTGTCATGATGGGTTTCAATGATGATAATGCAGTATCAGGAGTAGACATGACAGTTTTATACATTTATATTAAAGAGTGCAGTGTTTCATATGTTTTAAAAAGGTGCCATTTATAGTACAGTTTTTTATACTGTATTACAGTGAAATCTGTGCACATAAAACAGGTCAAGTCATTCCAGTTTTGTTAAAATTGTACAAGATGTATGGTCTGTATGACTAGTTCTCATAAATACCACAGGGGCTAAACAGATGTGGGCTATGTTAGGCTGCTGATGTGGCTGTCTACTATGGCTGGTCAAAAAATCATCTCAATGCACTTTGCACAGTAGGGTCTGGACTTTACTGTATTATAGAGAAACACCCAACAAATACCCCTTGAGAAGCACTTGGTGACAGTGGGGCGGAAAAACTCCCTTTAACGCAGTGGTTCTCAAACATTTCCTGTCATTCCCCATTTAAGAGGGTAGGCGAATTTTCAAGCCCCACTTGCCATGATAACAAAATCGGCCAATTTTAAAATATCAAATTTACTGAAATACCAAATAACACCAAGTTCAAAACAGATAAAATATAAGCGCAATTGTATCGTTTGGCAGAGGGATAGTGTTCAATTTTGCAGCGCTTGCCTCATCCAGCATAATCGACACCATGTCTACAGCAGCAGGGAGAATGAGCTGCTCAGCAATTGTGTGTGGTTTTTTTGCACTGGACAATTCTGTATACAACTTTGAATGAAGCCATTTTTGCTTTGCTGTTCACTGATGTGGATTTTACCAGGCGATTTTCTTGCAGACGGGCTTCACCATAGGCTTTTTGGTTGATAAGGCTACTGCCTGTCATTTTTTTGGTCTGCTTGTGCTGAATCGCCAGTTTGTTTGTTTTTTTTTTTGTAGTCCATGTAACACATTTATCCATTTACGTTATTATACCTACTACGTACACTATTGGCCCTCTGTGTGACAGTTTCCTTATATTGTTGAGCTGCAGTTAACATGTCGACAGTAAACCGTTATTGTAACTCTATGGTTCCACTTTTTTCCCCCAGGCCCTGAACTGATGTTGTTTTAATTTACGTGTATTAATGACCCATTTCTAATTTTCTCCATTCATTGCGCCCCACCTGTCATGTCTTTATTCCCCACTAGTGGGGCGCGCCCCACACTTTGAGAACCACAGATTTAATGAAAGAAACCTCCAGCAGACCTGGGCTCTTGGTGGGCAGCCGTCTGCCTCGACAGGCTGGAGTGAGTGGCTAGAGGAAAGAGAATAGAAAAGCATCAAGACTACTTATTAGTAACATACAGCTCCGGTACCTGGGATACTGCAGAAAAGTACAGGAAGAGGACACGAAATTCAGGCATTACTAAGTCATCACTGTCTTTGTCTACTGAAAATTTAATACATAATATTAATAAACTGTATCAAAACATGGTTACAGCAGGAAAATGTTGAAAAAAAAAAATCCAGCACCACAATTACATGAGCTACAGCAATGAAATAGAGTAAAAATAAAAAAGTAAAGCCCATAAAACATTGTGGAACTGGAACAATAAAACTCTGAGCTACGATTGTAATAGACTTTTTTATATACGGTAGGTTTTATGAAGTGATTTAAAATATGCCACTGAAATCTTTTCTCTGTAAAAAGAGAAAAATATATAGGTTGTTGAGCCATGTGAGTATTCTTCTCACAATGTTTTGATTTGACAGGTGAAGTCATTCTGTCACCTCAAAGTGAGGCCAGTGTACTTTAACTCCTGTGTGGGATTCTCCTGTCCACATTAAAATGCAGCTCCTTGTACCAGTATTCACTGCAAGAAATGAAGTGATCTGACTTTCACCAAAGGTAACCTGATTCAACCAACTGGCCCTATTGGCACAACAACTTAACAAGCAGCACTTTAACCTTTTGGTATGTCCCTGACCTTCAGACACTTTTTGTCTGGTAGATGGGTGTATGTGGAAATGACAGGCTAGTTTTTAGCACATGTTGAAAACTGAGCTGCATGAAGTATAGATGCCATGTCAGACCAACGTCATGGATGCCCAGCCGTGCAGACAGAGAAGTTACCAAAGTGAAACAAAGAGGTTCAGCACCACGGACAGCAACTGTGTTCAGTGGGGGAGAGGTATGGGAACATCTGAGATAATCGGAGTTGTTGGCAATCAGTCATTATAATGCTGCTGGGTACATACAGAGATGAAAGGAAACAGATGAAGATGATCAAACTGGTTCCCTGAGGCATCTGTAGTTGGACGTTGCCGATACCGCTGGCCATATGTCTCTTTCTGGATGCTGATCATTTGTCTATTATCTCTCTACTTTGAGAAATCTTATGTTTTGTTGGTCTTGTTATTGGATCAAAGATGAACAGATGAGCAAACTGACCAACCATTCAAAGTTGCCATAACTAAAGGCAAGCTGTGTTACTTCATTTTCAATGTGTATGATTAAAGAGTAGTCAGCCATCTAATTTTTCAAATACTTAAGTGCAGACAATCTATTAACTGAGCCTGTTCCTAAAATGGGAGCCGTCATAATAGTGCAGCACTGCACTAAGCTGCAACCTCTTAATTCGATTCCCCAGTAGCTTTCCAAGGTTACTTTGTCTTGTTTTTATTGCT